CAAGAAGAAAAGGGACAAGAAGAGAGGGACACAACCTAGAACAGATATGGATGTCTATTCTATTAACATTTCTCTATCTGGATATCTGGAGAATGGGGCTGTTTGATGTCTTCTCTGTTCAGAGGGGCCCCCTGCCTGTCTTTGCCTAGGGCCCCACATTTCCTAAATCCGCCCCTGATCAGTAGGCTATTTATTACAATTTGCTGATCAGTAAAACAATTAGAAAATGCAACTTTTTATTACAAAAAATATATATTTATTAAAGGGAAACTCCCAATCATAATCAAAGGTCGGTTTTATAAATGCATCTGCTGCTGATGTGGGTCTAGTGCCTTTCAGGCAGAGTGGGGTCTGCAGCGCTCAGCCTCATGATTAATGCGGCTTTTAGCTGCAGCGGAGCCTGCATGGGCCCCTCTCAGCGCACTGATCGGGGCTGCGCTCATCCAACCCCCCCTCCTCTTTACTCGATCAACCAGATCCCAGTGACTGAGAGGCACATGCGGTCTACAGACTACTGACCACCTTTCTGCACTAAAACTTCAGCAACATTAGCACCGTGTTTCAGGCAGTTTAACCATGCTCCCACCGTGCGCCAGGCAGGAACCATCCAACCCGTGCGTAAAAGAAGTTTTTCGCTCCAGATTTTCGACATCATAAGGTCAAATAGGCTATAAGCACCCAACTTACGCTTAAAATGAAAAGATATATAAATATATATGTACACCACAAGGTGTGATGGGTTATTGTGAAGCCGCACACGGGCTGCTGTGGCCCAAATATGTCTTTATCCCTGCAGGAGGTGGTGGTGCCATCCAGCAGTGAAACGCATGGAAGAGTCAGGTCATTGGTAAAACTGAGTCTCTGAATGGAAGGAGGGGAGAAAAGTTCAGATTATGTCGCCTGGCTGTTAAACTGGATCTGCAGGACCAGGAGCGCACATGGAAAATGCAGCTTTTCTCCCGCCGAAAGGCGGACAAACGGCTCTGACCACCGTGTCAGTGGGAGGGATTGGGCTTTTGTGGGCTGGGGAGGGTGGGGGTCAGTCCTGTGCAACCGCCAAACACACACACACACACACACACACACACTTCCACACAGTGAAATCCCGATGCACCAGCAGCAGTAGTAGTGGATAATTCACTGCAGATAGAGGAGCCGCACTGAATCCACAGGCGTCTCAAGTGTGCACACTTTCTCCACTGTCACCTTCCAACTGTTCCACATCACTCCGCACCGTTTGCGCACTTACCTTTGCACTGCAGTGAAACTGAGCACAGTTAGTTCCCATTTCGAGGAAAATGCTTTCAGAATCCAGTCATCCCCGCGTTATCTGCTGCTGCGTTCCTCAGACATCCACAGTGTGTTTCAGCAGGGGCAGTAATCCCGTCTCCCATCCCGGTCAGAGTGCTCCAAAGCTCCCTCACATCTTTTTCAACATTTCCTCACAGAACTATGTCAGGCTTCTCTTCAGCGCTTCTTGCTCTAACTCCCCGGTCCTCTGCCCCTCTTCTCTCCTCACCCTGTCTGAGGTTGCCTGGTTACCTCGCTCTGTAGGCTGCATCAAGCCGCCGGCCGGCAGCCAATCATAAAGCTGGGTTCATCTTAACCCCTGCGCTGCTGAACTGTCCTGATTTCCATCTTTCAAGGGTGGAGGAGGGAAGTGAGGAGGAGGGAACCAAGGCTTTAGAAAACATATGAGAAATATGTGGAGGGATTGAGAATGAGCTGTAGATGTGATGAGAAGCTGAGAAAAGGTGGGCAGATCTTTGAGTTTGAACTGTACTTTAGAAGATGAGTGCACTGTCCAGACTTCACCATCATCACACGCCCACTCCTTTACTACACTTTCATAGTACTACATCCTAACAGGGACACTCACTAACCAGTCGTGATGCAGCCTTCATCAAATCATTCATCTCACACTATTGATTGGATCACCTCCCACAGTTTGCATCAGCGGTGAATCATGCAGTTGGTTTAATTGCTTCTGATCTTTGGAAAAAAGAAAAGTATAAGCTAATTTTCCAAATCCTAAACTATGAAAAATTGAGTGTGTCATAGCGGAAACCACTGGAAAAAAACTGCTTTCAAAAGGTCATTAATAATGTAAAAGAAATAAATACAGTGTTTTGCAAATTCTTTCACAAACTAACATTAAGTTGCAAAATATTATGTTTAAGGCAGGGGCGAATCTACGACCAGAGGTTTAGGGGTGCTGAGCCCCCAGAAAGCTGTCTGGACAGACAAGATTAATTTCACTGTTTTCTAAACATATTTTTGAAACTTGTTCAGTGTGTTTAGCTAATAACTGACTCCATT